TTGCCAAATACATGTCTAGCCAACAGACCACAGAAACTCATTCTTTCTCACACTTTGTTGGCTATACAGAAGATAAGGAAGACTATGCCTTTTCTCTAATCAGCAAACTCAGTAGGGGCTCATGGGTAATTGATACAGGAGCAAGTAAGCATATATGTTCTGATTTTAACCTGGTTTGCAAGAATTCAGTGACTACAGTTGTTGTGAACCTTCCAGATGGTTCAAAGGTGAAAGTAACTCAGATTGGTGAGGTGAGGTTTAATGATGAAATCACACTCAAAGATGTTTTGGTGATTCCTGAGTTCAAATATAACTTGCTGTCTGTTGGACAATTTGTGGAAAAGGATAAACTACAGTTCATTTTTACAAAAGGTGAGTGCAGATTGTTGAAGGGAGATGGAGATTCAGTCATGGCTGTGGGAAAAGCAATTGGGGGGCTGTATATAATAGAGGGGCATAGTACCTATGTTAATGCTGTTAATGGGAGTTTGATCAATCAGAAAGAATTGGCTCTATGGCATAAAAGAATGGGACACAACTCAATAAATAGCTTGAGGCACTTGAGTTTCATAAACAATGACAGCTGCAAATTAGACCTGGACATTTGTGATGTATGCCACAGGTCAAAACAGTGCAGGCTTCTCTTTCCTCTTAGTCACATACAAAGTAAAGAAAAACTGGAACTTATCCATATGGATGTATGGGGGCCACATCATGAAGAGTCCATGACAAATACCTCCTACATGCTCACCATAGTTGATGATTATACCAGAGCCACCTGGATTTACTGATGAGATACAAGGCAGAAACAGTCATTAATGTTAGGGATTTTCTGAGAATGGTGGAAGTTCAGTTTGGAGTTAAAGTTAAGCAGATAAGAACAGATAATGGGGGAGAGTTTGTTAATAAAGAAATGGAAATGTTGTTGAAGGATAATGGAATAGTACACCAAAGGACCTGTCCTTATACTCCACAACAAAATAGTGTTGTGGAGAGAAAACACAGGTCCATTCTTGAGGTGGCAAGATCATTGGCTTTCCAGTGCAAACTGCAAAGAAATCTTTGGCCTTATAGTTTGTTAGCAGCAGTACAAATCATCAACACATTACCAAGTGAGAAGCTGAAGTGGAAATCTCCTTATGAGCTCTTGCATGGCAGTGAACCAGCATATGGAATGTTTAATGTGTTTGGTTGCTTGTGTTATGCAAGTAGGCTTGGTCCCAACAGGAAGAAATTTGATGAGAGGGCCATGCCTTGTGTGTTTCTGGGATACATCTCAGGGACAAAAGGATACAGATTGTATAGTTTGGAATCTAAGGAAGTGTTTGTTTCCAGAGATGTTATATTCTATGAAGAAAGGTTTCCTTTCATAGATAAAGAATCTTTGACCCCAGAACAAGAACCACTGGAGCCAGTTGTTGATGATTTCACTACATGTGAGCCTGAACCACATGTGTTGAACAATGAAAGGCATGACCCACCTGCTAAAGAAAATGTTGCAGTAAGAAGAAGTTGTAGGGTCAGGCATCCACCTGCTTGGTTATCTGACTATGAAATGAGTTTACAAAGTGATGAAGAAACAAATCTATTTTTTTTTGAAATAGATAAGACAGCCTCAGAGCCAACTTATTATGAGCAGGCCATTGGTGACAATAGATGGATTGATGCAATGCATAAGGAACTGCAGGCTTTGGAATCTAACAACACATGGATTCTTACCAAGTTACCAACAGGGAAGAAAGCCATTGGATCTAAATGGGTATATAAAATTAAAAGGAATCCAGATGCCACAATTGATAAGTTCAAGGCAAGATTGGTGGCAAAGGGTTTCTTGCAAAGGGAAGGGATAGATTTTGTGGACAGTTTCTCACTTGTTGCAAAGCTTGTTTCAGTCAGGCTGCTCATAGCATTGGCCACACAACAGAAATGGCAGCTGCACCATATTGATATCAATAATGCCTTTTTGCATGGATTCCTTGATGAGGAAGTATATATGTTACCTCCTAAGGGATATGACAAGGCTAAGAAGGGGGAGGTTTGCTTACTTAAGAGAAGCTTGTATGGGCTCAAACAAGCATCTAGACAAGGGAACATTGAGTTTTCTGATAAGCTCATTTCATATGGTTTTAAACAGTCACCACATGATCATTGCCTTTTCTTCAAACATTCAAGTCATGGATTGCTTGCCCTTCTGATTTATGTGGATGATGTGCTCATTACACGGAAATCTTTGGAGGATATTGAGAATCTTAAGTCTTATCTTCATGATCTGTTTACTATAAAGGACTTGGGACAGGCAAAGTACTTTCTTGGACTTGAAATTCTTCGAACAGGTGCAGGCACTTACCTTAGTCAAAGGAAGTATATCATGGACATTGTGCAT